TTTTTTAACAGTGAGAGTGACAGAGCGCTGGAACAGGCTGCCCAGATCGGTTGTGTAGTCTCCTTTTCTGGAGATCTTCAAAACCCGCTTGGATGCAGTCCTGTGCCATGTGCTCTAGGTGACCCTGCATGTGCAGGGGGGTTGGACTAGATGACCTCTAGAGGTCCCACCTTAAGCATTCTATGATTCTATGATATATATATAGGAATGCTTGTGCTTTTCTCCCCTGGTTCTGCGCAGCATAAAATCAGTTAATCTGTTGCAAGTGTTTTCCTTTTTAAAATCCAATGTCCTAATTTGCATGGGTCTCTCATACAGCAATGCAACAGAGAAGAATTTTTATATAATTAGAAATTGACTATATAAACACAAAGCTTGCTTCTGAAGCAAATCCAGAGTCTACTTTTAAAGCTGATAATATTTCAAATTGAAAACATTTCTTTAACTGAAAATTTATATTCTAGGCCAGAAACATGATTACAGCACAGATTAATCTAGCACTGAAAAGCTTTAAGCGAAACAAGATTTTGACATTTTATGTGATAAATCGCTTGCTGCAGCAAACCAAGTAATAAACACTCAAAATACATGAAAACCCAAGATACCTACTGTGAGATTTCAGATAAAATAGGGTCAGTTAGATGCATCATCCTTTACTAGGTTTGTCCAGCTGGACAAAATATTAATGCATTTAATGGGACTTTTGTACATCTGCTCAGTAGGAATTAGGAAAAATGTTAGTTGGCTCTACTTTTAAAATCCAAGTAAGGTTTCTAGCAAGGGAAAAAAAAGAAAAAAAACCCTACCATCAGGCTTTTATCCTTTTTAATAATCTCAGACTGCTCCCTTTGGCAGACAGTATCTAAGATGTGTCAAAGCTCTAGTATTGCTTTTCCCAGAAGAACTAGCCTATAAATAAGTCACTTTATATCTACTGTACATGTTTATTTTCTTCAAACATATATTCACTTATCCTGCATTTCACTGGCTAAACATTTGCTCATCGGCTTTTGAACCACTGCCACGTAAGTACGACTAAAACGTTTACATGGTTGTGGCCCAAAGCATGGGAGAAATCTCCCCTCGTCAAAACAGCCCTCAGGCGCTTCAGTCCCACCGGCAATCGTGTCTTTATACATGTGCCCCTGCTAATAGGGTTGGTCTCTACCCCCAGATTAATACAGAGGTAGATGACTATTTCAATGTAAAAACCAAGCGAGATGGGTCCTCTTGTCCACCACTCTCCCGAGCCCACAGCTCTTCTTTACAGACCTTCTCTGCACCAGCATCACTCAAAAAAAGCTGGCCATGAAAAGGCAGCCGACTTGCTGCACCTGCATGTTGCTCTGCATCACCCTGGCCGCTTCACCATGGCCATCTGGCTCTGCTCTTACACGGAAAATCAGCAGCTCTTCAGAGTGGGCAGTCTTGCATGCGCATCGGTGCGGGTTCGCTGTCAACCACCCACGGGGCTTATGCACTTGGAGGGACAATAAAGGTAAACTTCGCTGGGATGAAGCTTTAAACCATTTAAATATTTTTAAAATATGCAAGAATGTAATGGCTTGCTCCATATATTTGCTTTCTGATGATATTATATATCATGTATCAACTCACCTCTCAATAGAAATGTTACAATCACTTTAAGTATGGTTTCAAACAAGCTTTTTTGTGATCAGGACATAAAACGTTTCTAAAATTGCTTCAAGCAGCTTTGTGAACATCAGCTTTCACTTTGAAGAGATTAGTTATCTTAAAAGCAAAAATTATATGCAGATACAAAGAAGGATTACCTTCCCTCAGACGTTCCACCACAAAAGTGAATCCAGTAGTTCGCGGATGCAAGACGTACTCATATTTTCGAAGTCCATTCCTTTCAGCAAATTCATTACTGCGGGCTTTGGTATTGGCTAAAGATAAAGGAGAAAATAAAAGCCACCATTTTCTAGCAGTGTGCATGCAGGCCAAGAATAAAATTTAATTATTACACAACAGGAAGGGTATAACAGCAGTTCACATGGTACCAATGTGCAAAAGCTTCTCAGATGGAAGCAGACCACAAGAGTGCTTTTGGTTAGATATGTTATGGTATGAGGAAAAGCAACATGTGGACTGCAAAAAAGGCCCTTTTCCTCTCATTTCGTCTCAGAAAATAATAGGTTAATCTTTCTCATTTATCAAATGTAATCTGAAACCTACAAATTAAAAAATTTTAATAGTTCTTTGTACACCTCAAAATTAATTTAATAGTAAATCTGTTGATGGGCACTTTTTATTTTTTTTTAGCTGAAAAGACAAACGTGCTGAAAAGACAAAACAAAAGGTGTTTGATATTATTTATAGAAATATCTCGAGTTTGATATTTAACCAAATAAAACTCATTACGGGAAAAAAATGGGGGCAAATAGGTAATCAAATATATTAAAGTAGTAATTTACTTCTTCATTCTGAACTTGATGACACATTCAAACTCAGCTGCACATATACATACATACACACATATATATATGTGTGTGTGTGTGTGTATATCCTGTTTTAACTTTTTCAATCAACCATGCTGCACAGCAACATGCTTGCTGCTGCAGGCTGCGTATCTGGAAAGCGCTCTGGCTGAGCGCAGCAAGGCACAGACCTCAGCTGAGTGGCAAAAGAAATTCTCTCTAGAGAAAACTGAACCAAGGTTTTAAGAACCAGTTGCTAACAGAGTCCACTAACCAAGACATCAACACTAAAATGAAAACTTCTGGACTCAGGTGGAGGGGAAACACTTTGTTCCATAGCATGTGCAGGATGTTTCCAACGCAGCTGAAGTTAACAGGCAAACGGACCTTGTGGGCTACGTTTACTCCTTCCCTGTGGGTACCACTGCATCTCATCAAGGGCAAAAGGCAAACAGACACATACCGTGTTCCCATTGCAACACGAAACCAATTAACTTATTAAATATGTTAATAATGGCTCCTACAGGCTTTTAAAAGAGGAAATCCCAGCAAAAAATCTATGGAAGAGATCACTGCTTTGGCAACATGTAACCCCCTTTCACAAGGGGTTCTTTATCGAAACAGCCCCAGTCAGCCCATTAACAGGTATGGGAGATGAATTAATGAAAAATACATTGCTGTTTCATAATTTAATGGAATTGATTATTTAATGGTAAATCCTTTCCCTTACAATCATTTTATTTTTTTCTGTGAAGAATGGATAGCACAAGTGGGCAAACCAACAACAGCATTGTGCATTTTGCACCACTGCAACTTTTTGTACTTTATCCCTACGACATGAACTCTGTTTTATCAGAAAATGTGCATGTCTCTCAAAGGACCATCTACCTACTAGCAAATATCATAGTGTATCAGTGTACCAAGTATTTTTTCATAGTAAATAATTGTGACCTGCATAGAAGAACAATCTTCCATACATGTAACGCTTAAAATTCAGTGCAGTTTTCCCAACCATGTTATTTGGAGAAAAGAAAAAAAAAAAAGAGAGAGAAATAGTCAGGCAATGATCCAGCAAAGGAATATAAAAATGTTACATAAAATTTCCATAATTTCCATAATCCAATCTTGATAATGATTTTATAACATTACATTTTCAAAAGAGATCTTAAAATTACAGAATTAGCAGAATTCTAAAATTGCAGTTGGCAATATTTAACACATTATGTTATGTACATAACATTTAGTTGTGTACATAAAACTTACATAACTAAATTTACCTTCTGTTTAACATATACATTATGTAGTTCTTTAATCCCGTGACCAGAATATACATGTTTTTTGTTTTCTTTTCTGTTGGACTACTACTCTATTCAATGCAGAAGATGGCTTACTCTTATCAGGGAAGGAAACTTACCTTCAGGACCATTATTTCTGTTATGGCAGAACTGAAAAGTGAGTCATGAGCAAGATATGGAAGAACTTAAAAAGAAAGAGGACTCCAGTAATTATTACATGCTTCTCTGAAAAGCTGGATTCTACCTCTGAGACATAATTCTGTTGTACTATTAAACTTAAATCCTCCTTTCTGAAAATCTCCTTTCTAAAGGGACAACATCGACTCCTAAGAGTGTTCCCATAAAAGGTGGAGAACTCAAGAACTCCTTTCCAAATTCTGTGGTGGTTCAACTAACGGGCTTTTAAATTTGCTGTGCAATCTTTTAATCTGTTGTTCTTTCCAAAAGCATAGAAATACCTCCCAAATTAGGGTTTCAAGTTGGAATATGTACAGCCTGCAAATCAAGTCAATCAAAACTCTGAGACATGAGTGCCATATAAGTCTACATAATGCTAAGCAGTCTAAAAGAGCTAAGCCTTAAGCATCTCAAACTGCACACACTAAATGTGCACTCAAAACCAATTTCTGTGCATGTCTGCTCACTATGATCTTATTTCAGAAGGGCAACCTGAAAGGAAATCCCTTGGTGTTTGTAAAACACTCCTATTCGCACCACAGGAGACAAAGGTTAACTGAGTAGTTCATGGAACAAAATAGGTTTGTTCAGCATTTCCTCCAAAACTAGGCATCTTCAAACACTCTCTTACTATACCTCCTTGGACTTGTAAACATCTCACTATAAACATCTTTGAAGCATCCACCAAATTTCCTGTCATTGCAATGCCTTGTTAAAAAAAAGAAAGTGTGAACAGCTGGACACTGGCACGCTGGCCAGTGCTATTAATTCCTTCCTGATATTTCATTTGTTTGCATCCTTCCTTATACTTTGAACCATAAATTTTATGTATCAGAGATTGTTCCCTCCCCCTTTTGTTGCGACCCTAGTCAGACAAGATTTAAGAGCAAGAAAAATGCTCCCAGCTAATCCAATTATCACTGTCATCTCCTGGAGGAATCATCTCCCTAATTCCAGCTATTAAACCACAGTTCTTTGTGCAACAAACTATAGTTATTCTAGGAAGTCAGGAAGGCTGATGGGTTTTTGCTGCTGTCCCAAAAGCAAGACCAGGATATGCTTTCACTGCACATAAATGTAAGCAATGATGCTCTTCCTCCTACTATACTCAAAATTTGCAGAAAAGAGTGTATCGTTCTGCTATTCCCTATAAGCAAACTCATTGCCCTCTTATCCTACCTAAGCACCTCTGTACCTAAATGCTGCTTGGGATCCCTGTGTGAAAGAACATCTGTGCCTAAGCCTTTCAGGGAAAATTCAGAGCAGGTCTCCTGCGGAGCACAGGGTTCAGCAAAGCTCAAGAAATGTAGTGATTCATGTTACGCCAACCTAGAGACAACTGCTCCAGGAGAGAAGAAACTCTTTTTTATATCTTCTCCAGCCTGAAGGAATTTGCACAGCAAACACCTCTGAAAATGCCTTAATCAGCAAACCAGGCTACACTGCTAGTGTTGCAAAACTCAGGGAGGTGTCTCATCAGTCTGTGCAATCAAGACTATAATATTCTTAGGTGAAAGAATTTAAAAAAAAAAAAGCAAAAGATAGCTTTGTAAGCCTGGTAATGAAAACACTTCCTTAAAAAGAGGAAACATATGTTCTGCTTTTTGCTTCCAACCAATTGTAATGCACATTGCATAAAGCAGTTCTTGAAGCAGTGCTGGTCTCCCCACAGCCAAAAGGCTGTTTGCATCATTTGGCTAAGGCTAATGCTCCCTTTTGTTCACTCTCCCCAAGAAAGATAATGAAACATTGTTTTCTAGAAGTATTTTCTTTCCACTGTAACTAAGCCAAAGTAAATCTACCACACTGACTTTGACTCATTATTTCAACTAGGTATATTATGCATTTTATTTTAACTTCTTGGTTCTGTTTTCTCCTATAATAAGAGGGAATAAGAAGAGTAAACTATTTTTATGAAAAGAAAAAATCAGATTCAAAAGTAAATTGGAAAGAAATATCCAATAAGATTTCAAATGCTAACACGTACAGTGTCACTAAGAGTACCTGTTACCTTCTCCTCTCAAGCTGCTAGCATTGCTTCCCCCTCCCTTAGCTCTACACATAAAGCAGATGAACACAAAAAGAAACTCAAGTTAAAATGTAGATATGTGTGTGTGTGTCTCGGTAAGAGTCACTGAACTGGTACTAGACTAAACACTCTTGCCAAAAGAACATCACAGGATGCAGCACAGTTACTAACAAATTTGGCTTTCACATGGAAGTCCTACAACTACCAGACATGAACTATATCAAAATAGCTAAACACAGAAAAGTATAAAATCGTCAAAATTACACTCACTATATATTCTTGTCTAGTCTTATTGTTCAGTTTAACACTTATCTGACAATGATACTTATTTATCTATATGCGTGCAGTAAATTGTTCTACTCCAAAATTAAAAGTGTGGCTATTTCAGATTTTAGGGGATCTTTATAAAGATACTCCTAAGAAACATACGCTAAAAGAAGAAGAAAAAAAAGTATTCAAGCACTTAAAATTTATGCTGATGTATTGAAAGAGACACATTAAAATCCACTTAAAATCCCACTGCTGTCATCTGTTCACTGCACCTTTACTGCTGCAGCATCTTGCAGCTCAAAATGACTTCTTCAGCATGGAGTAATTTAACGCATATGCTGTGATAGAAAATGATGAACATTCACAAATACACACATGATGTAAAATGTCTAAATATAATTTATTAGAAAGGGAGAACAGTCTCTTTATCAGATACAGAGCCTTGACCATAAATGCTTTAACAGCAGCCAGGTAACTACCAAGGGAGAACTGCCTGGTTCTCTGGCTCCACTGGCCGTGCTTGGACTTGCCTCTCCTCCCTTGGCCTCGCTTGACTTAAATCCACTGTGTCAGGGCAGCAACAAGCACAAGAGGATAAATGTCAAATCACACAGAAGAACAATGTAAAGAGTTACCGCTGTGTCCTCTTCCATTTGCTTCCATTTTTTTTTGATCTAGGAAATCACATGGTCACATCCCTTCCCAGCTATTTCAAAGTTTGTGTAAGGAAACACCATTTAATCACATTCTAAGTTATCTGAGAAGCTCAGACTTGAAGCACCACATTTTAGAATTGCTTATGTAGTGCACAGGAAGAAACTATGCTAATAACTGCACTTCCTGTATTTCAGAGTTACAGATTTGGGGGAAGTTGATTTGCTTTTACCTCTGAAAATGAGAAGATAGAATGAGCACTTTTTAAAAATATATATATTCCAATTTAAATTTCTGATTTAGCGTGAACTAAAACGAAAATCTCAGAGTATGACTTGAAAGAAAGTCTTGAAAAACATAGTGCAATTGCATGACATGAGTCTGAAGAGTATTTTGAACCGTAATTCCAAGACCTGTACCCAAAAAGAAGTTGAGTCTGTGTTCTTCACCAAATGTGTGCAGTATTAACTCCACTCCAAAGAACAACTTACATGCTTTTCCCAAAATCAGCATTGTCCAGAACCAATCTGCTTTGCTGGGCTGGGCTCAAAAGAACTATAAATTTCCCTCATCATCCTATTGGAATGCTAACTGGAATGCTTCATTGGAATGACAACTTAAATACAACTATCCATGATCAAAGCCTGGAGCAAAACAATCCTTCATGAACCCTGAGAATACTCTGACAGCTCCTTTTTTTGCTACCACCAGTGCACCAAAGTGTGAATATTACGTATCGCCTCTTTGTTTATCCTGAATATCCTGTAAAGAGCAGGCACGTAACTCCGAAGTCCTACGGTAATGATGTTCAGTCAGACGGGTGAAAGGCAAAACGAGCACTCCAGAAATCTCTCTTTAATAAAACAACCTAATTTATCCATCT